TTGAGGCACTTCTTAATTAATATAACAACCTATCTGAGCGGCAGCTCTCTCATCTGTGAAAAGGTGAAATAGTATGTAGCCACACCACTGACCATGGCTCTTGGTACACAGCAAGCTCTCAGTAAGTCCCAAGTCCCAATGCCTTATTATGGCACTCCACCACATCTCTCTGTCCTCTTCCCCACAGCTCCTCCCTTCCCCCACTCACTGAGGCCCATCTCCATTGGCCCCCTTGCATGTTCCATCCCACCTCAGGGTCTTTGCACATGCTCTTCCCTCGCCATGGAATGCTCTTCAAGAAGATTTATGCATTTGGCTATTCTTTTGCTAAAATCAAGTCTCTCCCTAGAGGGACCTTTCAAACCATTAATTTTAAAATAACACCCAGTTCCCAGCTAACCCTTTTGTCTTCTTTATTGTCATTCACAGGCGAATATTATGTGGGGTCACACAACTGTCTCACTTTCTATTTCTGCCTCTCAGTCAGTGAACTGACTTTGGTCTTGTTCACCCCCATGCAGCAGCTCTAAAATTGCCTAGCACGTAGGAAGGGCTTTTTAAAAAGTCAGTTGAATGTTTTAGGTTTGGTGTAGTCATTGCCTTCTTCGACCAATATCCTGTGTGGAGAGGACATTGCGTGCAGTCCCTGGTGTACAGCATGTGAAGGAATTCCAGTCTGTATCCCAGGCCTCTTTCCTGAGCTCTACTCGTGCCTGGCACTGCCTGAGGTTCCAGGGACATTGAGGCAGGCATGATTGTGGACAGAGAAAATGTAGAAGAGGGATGGCTGGCTACCTTGGAAGCTGGAGGATAAAGAGCCAACCCCAGCTAAGCCACTTCCACCCTCCCGCAGTCTCACCTGTAAAATGAGAACAATGACAGTAACTACATCTCAGATTGTCATGAGAATGCTCTGATAATCCCTGTGCCTGGCAGATAAAAAAACATTCGTAGATGTTGGTTCTTTGTCATAATACTAACTACATACTTCTTCTGTGATTTAAGCAAAATAAAGAATAAAAATTTGGTTGAGCTGCTGCCGGTGGTTCAAGTTTGTAATCCTAACTACTCAGGAGGATCCAGGTTCGAAGTCAGCTGAGGCAAATACTTGTTGAGACCCTATCTCAAAAAAAAAAAAAACCCATCTCTTGCTCTCTCACACACACACACACACACACACACACACACACAAAAGGCTGGTGGAGTGGTTCAAGACATAGGCCCTCTGTTCAAACCTCAGTACTGCCAAAAAAATATTTCTTTTTGGTTGACTCATTAATGATTATCAAGTAGTTTTGCCCTTCTAATAGCATACAAAAGGACTCACACTTGCTCCAAGAACTTCATATCCAACTCCCTCAAAATTTAGGTGGGGAAAGTAGCCAGGAGGAGAGACACCACCATTCTTGTTCATCCTGTTGAGCCAGGGGTGTCAGGAGTGGGCTGGGCTACACAGGGCAGCTTCTCATTAAGAAACACTAGGTAAAGCACAGCTACAGGGTTTTGGGTTGCTTTTCACCTTTCATTCAAACTTTTTTTTTTTTTTTTTTTTTTGCGGTACTGGGGCTTGAACTCAGGGCCTATACCTTGAGCCACTCCACCAGCCCTTTTTTTATGAGGAGTGTTTTTGAGAGAGGGTCTCGCAAACTATTTGCCTGGGGCTGGTTTTGAACCATGATCCTCCTGGTCTCTGTCTCCTGAGTAGCTAGGATTCCAGGTGTGACCCACTGGAGCCTGGCTTAATCAAGCTTTTTTGTGAATATAATTTACATACAATAAAATTCTATCACCCAGAACACTCTCTTGTGCTCCTTAGCAGTCAATTTTCTCCTGAAAGACACCACTGATGTGATTTCTGTCACCAAAGGCCATCGTCACTAGACTATATTAATGGGCTCATATAGTAGGTAATCTTCCCCCATTCGCTGATGTGAAGCTGAAATACTGATGTAAACCTATTAAAAGATACAATTTGACTTGTTTTAGTAACTCTCCCTGGAAATGATCACCAGTCAAGATACTGAACATAACCAACACCCCCAAAAGTTTTGTACCCTTGTTTTCTGTTGCTCCTCCCCACCCTTCTGCTGATCTGCTTTCTCTCACTATAAATTGGCTTGCATTTGCAAGAACTGTATCGAGAATCATCCAGTGTGTATTCTGGCCTGACTTCTTTCACTCAGCATAATTATTTTGATCCATCCACACATTGATACTCCATGCTGTTAAGTATCAATACTTAATTCCTCTTTTTTCCTGGTATGGGAATACCACAATTTGTGGGTATTCAGTTATTGATGAACAATGGGAGTGTCTTCCAGTTTTGGACTCTTATGGAAAAAAAACACTATGAACATAACTACAGAAATGTATTTGTGGTTGGAGGTATGGCTTGAGCAGAGTGCCTGCTTTCCAAGTATAAAGCCCTGAGTTCAAATTCCATTCCCACCAAAAACAAAAAAAAAATTGTTAGCATAAGTTTTCATTTATCTCAGGTAAAATACCTAGACATGGGATTGCTGGGCTACGGGTAGATGAACTTTATATGAAATTGCCAAGTTGTTTTTTCCAAAGTGGTTGTACTATTTTATATGCTTACTAGCTGGCTAAAGTTCGACATCAATCCATCCTATCTCATGTTTTCATGCTTGCTGTTCCCTTTTCCTGCAAAGACCTTTCATTGGCTTTGGCATGACTGACCTCTTGACATTCGTGCTGTAGTCAATGTCATATTCCAAAGAGATTATTAGGAAGCGAATGATGTTCCCTTCCAGTACTTTATGATCCAGTACTGAATTTCGGAGACTAGGTCTTTAGAAAGAGGTATGAGGCTATGAAGGCCCTAATCCAACATGACTGGTGACTGATACACTGGACCAGAAAAGGAAGAGACACCAGAGATGCCCCTGCCTCACAGAGAAAAGACCATGTAAGGACATTTCAAGAAACCAACCGTCTATAAACCAAGGAGGGAGAAGCTAAACTAAACTTGTCCATACCTAGGTCTTAGATTTCTAGGCTCCAGAACCATGACAAAATACATTTATGTTGTTTAAGCCACCTAGTCTGGGATATTTTGTTAGGCATTACTAGCAGACTAATATAAAGACCTTCCAATCACCATGTTGAAACAATTATGATAAAACTTGTTTCAAACAATGTTTGTTTCAAGCATTCATAAATGAATGCTCAAACCAGTGGATGAGAATCTAGAGAAGAGGATAGTTGTCTCAAAATATCTTCCTATAAGATACTTTAGTTACAAAGGGGAAAATGTAACTTTACAGTACTGGCAGACATCACCTTAACTATGATCAAGGTTAATATCACCAATATTGAGACGAGCCCATGTCATATGGGCTTTCTTGATGTGAGACACTGAGGACATAACTTTCTTTCAGTAGCATTCTTGTCCAAAAAAAAAAAAAAAAAACAAAAGAAAAAACACACACACACACACACACACACACACACACACTGAGCCTAATCAGAAGAAAATATCAGACAAATCTAGCATTAGTGACATTCTACAAAATAACTTCCCAGCACGCTCCAAAAATGTCAAGGTTAGGAAGGACAAAGAAAGGCTGAATGACTAAACTGCCTTCCCAGATTAGAGGCAACAAGTGATCCTGAATTGAATCCTGGAAAAATAGGGGTGAAGAACATTAATGGGATAATTAGCAAAACTTAAATATGAATGGTATATCAAATAAAATATTAATTTTATTTTGATCTTTGTACTGAGATTGTACAGCAGAATGTCCTTGTTCTCAGGAAACACACACATAACAAATATAAAATGTATAACGTCTGAAACTCTAAAATGACTTTTAAAGACGGACATATAAATCAGGAGTGATTAGGAGGATACAGGTTCAAGGCCAGTCCAGACAAAAAGTTTGCAAGACCCTGTCTGAACAGAAAAATCTGGATGCGGCTAGTAGAGTGGTTCAAGTGTTAAGAGCGCCTGCCTCGTAAGGGTAAGACCCAGAGTTTAAACTCCAGTGCTTCCCAAAAAAAAAAGAAAAAACTGGGTGCAGTAGTGTTCACCTGTCATCTCAGTTAAGGCAGGAAGCATAAACAGGACCATTGAAGTCCAGGCCCACTCAGGCATAAATGCAAGACCCTATCTAAAAAATAACCAGAGCAAAAAGCGTTGGAGGTTTAAGCAGTAGAGCACCTGCCTAGAAAGCATGAAACCCTGAGTTCAAATCCCAATACCACACAAAAAAGGATATATACATATTATATAAACACAATCTGTAGGCATCTGTATGTACACATACACAGGAAAGAATATGCAAGTGAAGCAAAACATAACAATTTGTTACTTTGGTTGAAAAAGTATCTGAAGCTGGGTATAACACACACTTGTTATCCCAGCGTAGTTAGAGGCCACCCTAGGTTACATGGCAAGACAGTCTCAAAAGAAAACAGAGAGAGGTAAGTGTATGAGAATTCTTCACTATTCTTCTAACTCATGTGTACATAAAAATGTTTAGCAGGGTGCAGTGGCTCACGCCTAAGATCCTAGCTACTCAGGAGGCAGAGCAGTAGGATCGCGGCTCAAAGACAGCCCTGGCAATTAGTTCGAGAGACCCTATCTGGAAAAAATCCATCACACACACACAAAAGGGCTGCTGGAGTGGCTCAAGGTGTAGGCCCTGAGTTCAAATACCTGTACTGCAAAAAAAAAAAAAAAAGTTAAGCTGGGCATGGAGGTATACACCTGTAATCCTAGCAGAGGTAAGAGTAGCAAGGTCTGAGGCTTGCTTGGGTAAACATACAGACCCTATCTGAAAAACTAAAGCAAAAGAGCTGGGGGACATGGCTTAAGTAAGTGGTAGAGCCAATCTTGAGTTCAAACCTCAGGACCACAAAAAAAAAAAAAAAAAGAAAAAGAAAAAGGTATAGAGGCTTTTAGTGACCACACTGTCAGAAGTGGTCGGTCTCCAACCACAAGGACCTCTTTAATTCATTCTTTTTTTCTCCTTCACACTTAAATCACTGGCAAAAATTATCCTGTGCATCTGTTTGATAATAATATCTAATGTATTTTGTGTGCAAGACCTGCAAGACTGACTCTTATGTTTTAGGGTAGTTTAACTGTGAAATCACTATGAAAGAAAACAAGGTTGGTTAACTTGACCAAGGTCACCCATATGGTTTGTCTCAGTTACAAAGAACCCTCAACTAAAACAGACATTCTCAGGTCCTCTGCTTTTTCGTGCCTAGCCCATTATAGGCATTCATAAATATTAGTACGCTCAAATAACAACATTGGGCACCTAGCAGACACTGGGGTGCAAAGCAGTGACTATAAAAAACCCATGCCTAAAAGGTGCTTAGGCTGAGCCTTGTCAGCCCACACCCAATTAAGCACCAGAATTCTTTTGGCTGGGAGGTACGGCCCGCTCCTCTGCAGGGGAGGAAACTGAGGATTAGGGTGGGGCAACGATCAGCCCCAAATCACTAATTAGGTGGAGTGAGCACTGGGTTGGAAAACCCAGTCCGCGAGTTCCCAGGCAAGAGGTGTAAATCAATCTGACAAATCCAATCGCCCAATCAGTGTTTATTAGGAGCGGGCAGCGAGCGGCTAGTCTTCACGCAAGTCAGGAGAGAAGAGGAGGCTGGAGTGGTGCGTGGGCGACTGCGGAGACCCGGAGGCTGCCCGAATCGCGGAATTTTGGCGCGTATTTTTTGTTGGTTGATGTTCTCGCTGGTGATTGGGTCCTTGCGCGGCGTCCCGGGTGCGCCGGGTCGCGGCTGCTCTGTCGACCTTGGCACAGCCTGAGTGGCGCAGTAGTCGGCTGCCCTCCCGGGGGATGGGCCACCAGGAGTCTCCGCTGACCCGAGCAGCTACGAGGGGTGCAGCTTATATAAAGACGTTATGTAAAGGGCTCAGCTGGCGCGAACACGTGGAGAGCCACGGGAACCTGGAAGCCTGGGCCTCCCCCGTGGGCGCCGCCGCCACCACCGGGGCAGCACCAAGATCAGTCGCACGCCTGGCCCGGGCCAACGCCTCCCGCGCTACTCGGTCGCGGGGACTGCCCCGGCCCGGAACGGACCATCCCCAGGCGCGGGCTGCCAGGGGGAGACGGGCCGCCCGGAAGTGGAAGCGCACCGGCCAGGTAAAGTGGAGTCCTCGGAGTAAAGGCCAGTGCCGGAGCTGGAGCTACTCCCCGCTGCCGCCGCGCTTGGGGGCGGCCACAGGGCCCTCGGTTTGTCGCTTTCTAAGAGCCCGAACTTTTAGCCAATCGCCTCCACCCGCTGTCCTTGGGGACGTGGGTCGATCCGTTGGGCTCAGCTAGGGCTTAATTCAATGGACTGTTTACACCCGGGAGAACTCAAGACAGGATGCGGTAAGGGGAGGGTCTCAGAGGCGACCCAACAGGGGAAAACACTTAGAACAGTCCAAATCTCTCCTCTTTGCGATTTGCATAAATTTTGAAGGCTTTTATGTCTTGTTTTTCCTGTTTCTTCCCGATAAGTTACCGGAGAGAGCCGATAGCTCGTGCTTTTCTTTCCGGTTCCCCCTCTCAACTGTTGCTCAGTGGTTCCGGCTTTCCCGCTTTCCCCCTCCCTTCCCCAGTTCAACCCGCGGCTGTGGCTTCCGTCTTAAAGGGGCCGCGGCCGCCGGAGTTGGAGGGGGTGGGACGCTCCGCGGCCTGCGTTCCTTGCCTCCCAGCCACGGCCTGGTAGTTTAACCGACCGATTCTTTCGCCGGCAGGTCACAGCCCAAGGCCTCGCTCCTCCGCGTCTCGGGACCGGACGGAGGGATGAGGCAGGGGGGACCCGGGCAGCGCCGTTGCTGCTCCCCCCGCCGCCCGCAGCCATGGAAACGGGGAAGGAGGACGGCGCCCGCAGAGGTACACAAAGCCCGGAACGGAAAAGGCGAAGCCCAGTGCCGCGGACGCCCAGCGCGAAGCTGAGGCCCGCGGCGGCGGCGGCCCAGGCCATGGATCCGGTGGCGGCCGAGGCCCCGGGCGAGGCCTTCCTGGCGCGGCGGCGGCCGGAGGGCGGTGGCGGGTCCGCGCGGCCGCGCTACAGCCTGTTGGCCGAGATCGGGCGCGGCAGCTACGGCGTTGTGTACGAGGCAGTGGCCGGGCGCAGTGGGGCCCGGGTGGCGGTCAAGAAGATCCGCTGCGACGCCCCCGAGAACGTGGAGTTGGCGCTGGCTGAATTCTGGGCCCTGACCAGCCTCAAGCGGCGCCACCAGAACGTCGTGCAGTTTGAGGAGTGCGTCCTGCAACGCAACGGGTTAGCCCAGCGCATGAGTCACGGCAACAAGAACTCGCAGCTGTACCTGCGTCTGGTGGAGACCTCGCTCAAAGGTAGGAGTCTGCAGGCCGCCCTGCCCACGCAGGGCCCGGAGCCCCAGCTGCCTGGACCGCTGGGCCCTAACTGTCCCCGGCGCGCTCTAGGCCCTGGTCCTCTTTCGTTACCCTGGGCCCAGACACACCCTCCTAGGCCAGGAGTGGGGCGCTCTGTTTTCTACTGACTCAAGTCCCAGCCCCAAACGTTAGCTGACATTTTCATAACAAGAGATTGCTTAAGTGCTAACCATTATCTTAGTAATTACTCAGTAAGTGTGACCCGTTATTAAACCTAGGACTTTTAAAATCGATGGTGAGCAGAAGCAGGGGGATTCAGAGTTGTTGGCAGAACTGAAGAGCTCCACCACCCCACTTAGCTTCTCTTCTTTCTCTCCGAAAACAAAAAAAAAAAAAACCTTACCCATGAGCCCACTCCCTTTCCCTTTCTGGTTCCAAGTTTTCTGACATTCTCGGTCTCCACCCCCAAAACTTTTGCATCCTAGTCTGATTTCCTCTGAGGCCCCACTGGCCCCTCATCCCAGGGCAGTCAAGCAAACCCGGTCGGTTTTCTGGCTTAGTCCTCTGGGGCACACTAATAACCCACACAGGTGGGCCCAGAGCTGTCAATAACAAAACGTCTAACATCTTTCCCACTGTTTCACATTTTTAATCTCTGAGGTTGAATGAGACTAGGTTTTACTTCTAAAGAAAATGGGCTCCTTAAGGCCCAGGGGCTTGCAGTCCTGGGGAAGAGAGCTACAGGTACCAGAGAATTTGTTTGGAGAGGAGAGGGACAGTGGACTAGAAAAGTCCGAGGAGGCTTCCTCAGGTCAGAGAATCCATAGGGAAAATTATTAATCAGAGTCCCGGCTTTGGTCTGAGCACTGAAGTGATTTTAGGCAGTAAGTTTTGTCCTCCACCAATGGAGAAATTAAGGTGAGCAAAAGTACAAATCTGTCTTAAGGTTAATCAACCTGAAAGAGAAGTAGGATTCAACTCCTGGTTTCCATGATAGCTTAAATGAGGAACCCATACCCTCATTCTTCAAGTCCGGATCCTTTCCTCCTAAGAATGGACTTTTAAGAAGTTAGAATTTAGGGTTGGGTTGGGTGGTTTCCTAAAATCTTTTTGGAGCTTTTGCTCAACTTTTCTATAAGATCCCACAAGTTTCCATAGATTTCAAGTCAGTTGTCTGACAACGGATTGGGTGGTGTTTTCTGTATATATCTCACAGTAGACTTTTTCCTTTATGCCCATCATTCTGCAAGGCTGGCCATCCCTCCAGGGTGAAAGCTTTTGTTTTGAAAAGATTCCCCAAGGAGATTATTTTACTTTCCTATTCCAGGAGCTCATCACTTAGCCTTTCTGTTCTGGGACACCTCTGTGGGTAATGAACGGGATGGACTTCATATTTCAGGATTGTTTAGGAATTTTTTTGCCAAACATTCCCTTCTAACCTCAGTTCATTGATGCTGGTCTTGAAATTTGAACTGCAGTTTACAGCTCTTGTTGACCCCAGCAGCATGTACTTTTAAACTTTCTTCAGATAGAAGTTTTACCAATTCCACCATAAAGTAGCAGCGTAGCATAGTAGACTTTGGCTTGTCCCAAAGTGAGTGATACAGGACATGGCACAAATGGAAAATCTGTGAGGATCATGCCTTTATAGGGCGGGATGGGCTAGAGATACGGGTACCTGTGTTGTAGTGATGCTGCGCACACTGGGTCAATAGATATGTCAGGATAAGGGGGAATTCACTGTCTGTCAGTTCAGGCTGCATCCTGAATCTTCTTCCACCTTCATCCTCTTTAGATTTAAGTTATTCTTGAAGTTTCCCAAATTCGTTTGACCATGGAACACATTGTATGTGTTGTCAGCAGTACCAAGTTGACAGCAACATTAGTATTTTCATCCTTGATTTGCAAAGTAAAACCAGAGAAATATTTCCCTTTAGGCCACATACTTAATATTGTCCCTTCTAGTTCTTTGGAGTCTTCAAAATATTTGAGCCTCCACAATGTCCTAAGACTGTGCAATGAAGAAAATGTACATTGTCTCTGCTTATGACAGTGACTGCTAAGGGACAGTCTTGCATGTCCTGTGTTAATTTAGTATCAACAACCTATTTACTATGTGCTAAAGTAGAGTACAAAGACCCAGATTTCCCTAGTTTAAGTTGTCCTGACTCCAGCTTCCAGCACTTACCAGTCTTGATCTGATCCAGTAATGTCAGAGCTGGAAGGAATCCTACAGGTAACCTAGTCCTGCCCTTAAACAGAAAAGTCCTTTGCAGTCACCCTTTGCCCCATGTCCTCCAATTTAGAACAATTTAAAATAGATCATAGTGATCGTGTGCCTTAAAGTCTCATCCACACACTTGGTACTGAGTCCCTACAGTGGTGTTTAAAAGGAGAAAACAAAAACAAACCCCGATCTGCCCGAAAGGAACTTATGCTGATAATATAAAATATCAGGGGTCATTGTGGTCACTGAAGGAAATGGAAGCTTAGCTCCTTAACAGGGCTTTCTCGAGTATGCAGAATTAAGAGAAAAGAGAATCAGGAGGTAGCACAGGACATGGCTCAAAAGAAGGATGCACAGCTATGGATTGGCAGAGACGAGACAAGTGGAATCTATTTCACAGAACAATGGAATATTTTTTTTTTCCTCCCCTGACTTTCAACTCCCTAGTGAGTATACAAAAGACATTTTTGTAGTCTCAAGAAATTACCTGATGTATAAATAATGCAGTATCAGAAAGAAACTTGGAACCCATTTAATAGACTTACATTCATCCTATCTTTCCTTTCTGTGTGAGCGTAGACCAAACAAATCCTACCCAGAGCATATTATAGATCCAGAAGAGGTCTTAGAGGTCTGACCTGGGCTCTATTTCATAAGGAAGGAAACAGGAGTTCAGAAAAGTGACAGGACTTGCCAGAAATGTGTTAGTGGCACAACTCACACCAACTCCCTGATTTTTGAAAACCAAATTTGGTTGATGGGTGAATGCTTTGTGTCTTGAACTTTTATGTGAAATTTTCATAAAAAGAGGAATTAGGGCATCAACAGTTGCTTTTGGCCCCTTTTTTCCATTGCTAAAGGACTCTGTCCTGAATGCACCTAAAACAAAGCGCAAGATCGCTGCCACTTAGGAGACAGCAGGCCAGCCTGACTCATTTTCAAACTTAGAAATGTGTTGCTTTAAATCGTTTCTCACACACACTGGTTGGGCACCCACCAAGGAAAAAAATCAGAATGGACTCTCAAGGCACTAGATAGAAGATTGGAAGAGCTGGGAGCCTAGCTTGTCCCCAACTTGGTAAGACACTGCTGTTTTACCAGTTTGGAATTTACTGTACTCAGTGCCTTTGATAGTGCAAGAAGTTTGGAGCCTAGTTCCTTGGGCGGCATTCTTGCCTGTGCATCGATGCTGAGTGTCTGCTGTGAGCCAGGCTTCACATATGGCTTCTTTGTGAGGGATACACGAACCCAAATGAACATAGTATGGGGTCATAAGTGGTGCCACCCTAAAAAACAGGTTTCGCTCTTCACTGGGAGTTTAGAGGCAGGGAGAGAGAAGCAGAGAACAAAAGTAGCTGAGAGAACAAGCGTAGGGGAGACCAGGGAGTTGGCAGTGAATTAGTTGTCAACCTAAAAGGTCTCCAGGCTGTTGAGGGCTGAGGGAAGCCTTGGCTCAGTGCAGGACAGGGCCACCCCTTACCTAGGCTTTTAGAAAGCAACTCTGAGTTCTCTGCCATAGCGTGGGCTTCAGATAGACAGAGGTAGATTGGTGATCTTTGGCTGCCTTGACAGAGATAAAAGTGGCAAGTAGAACTCAGGACTTGGAGTCAAAACTTTAGTTCCAGTTTCACCATTAATGAGACCTAAACCTTGCTGACTACTATGTGTCGGATGCTGCTCTGCAGACTTGGTGCCTAGTAAATCATTCAGCCCTCAAAACCATCTCTCCAGGTCAATAGTGTGAGTATCTCTTACAGGTGAGATAACTGAGGCACTGAGGCCAATGAGATTGCCCAGTGTTACTGAGCAAGTAACCAAGCTAGGATTCAAGCCTAGGCATTCCATCTTGAGTCTGCTTTCCTGACCACTGTGGGGTATATTGGGCAGCAGTGGCTTCAGATCAGGGTTCTGGGATTTTTGGTACTTTACTCAGAAATTAATGGCTGTTAGTGTTTAATTATACATTAATTCCTGCTGTGGCACTGGTGATATCTGTTGTTGCTGTCTATGTATCACCACTGTCAGGGACTCCGTACCTGCTTTCTTGTCTGCTCTTGAATGTGTCAGGGACAACTGGTGCTGACTGCTTTCCTTCTGTGAGCATTGGGACTTTAGGTACCAGCCCCAGGAGATACAAACAACCCTGACTTAATTGAGAGCATTGTTTAATTGGGGTTGCATTGGGTAAGGCTTTTTATAGTATAAACTCTCAGGGAGAGCTGAGCTTTCTAGCAGAACATCAGTTCACCTTGAATTTGGCCTTTGGCGATATGCTTAGGGCTAGTAACCCTCTTGAGTGACTCAAATTCTGGATCCTGACCTAGTTGTCTTTAATTTGCATGTTCTGCATGCCCTACTGTTACCCTGTGCAGGCTCATTCTGCTCGCCACACAAGTGAAGCCAATTAGTTGGGAGGCAAGGCAGTGGTAGAGAAAATTATTACGTAACTACTACTGATCCTAAAGTGTCATCTCGCCAGGGAGCTGATTGAGGGACCTTTTGTATAGGAGATGGTGATTGCTGCCTGGTGGGCACCATCTCTCAGGTGGAGGTTTGTGGCCAGATGATACACATCTGGTCGCAATCCCCTAGTCATGAGGTGCTTTTTCAGTTCTTCAAAGCTCAAAAATAAAGATCACTATTTCCCTGGGTGATTGTTGTCACTGATTAGTTTGCCCAAGTGCAGGACATATTACACAATGAATGAGCTGGTGGGGCGGGGGCAGGTGCCTTCAGGGCCTCTTGCTGATCACCAAACTCAAGGTAATGAAAG